ACGCCTAGTGCAGTCAAGTGTTAATCCTAGTTATCTTAATACACTCTCCTCTAATAATAGAAGCCAGTAGTTATCAAAAATGCTGAAACTTTGATTCTGCAGGTATGTCTGTGTAACTACCACAATGAATGCTGCTGTCATAAGGCTGTGTTTATTTAGCCAGCCTTGTGTTTGCAGGGTTAAGAATCTTAAGGAAGTGATATTACTGTAGTTGTAACACCATAATTTTGCTTTACAGGCTGGATCCTCATTATACTAGTTCCAGCTGCTCTCCACAGTCTTTACCTTTTCCCAGGCTACTGTATCTGAGGTGAGTATTTGTCAGCATAGGTTCCTTTGATAAAGCAGAGTTAAAAATAAAAAAAAAGTTGTATATTCTCCTAATTTATACTGCCAAGTTCATCTTTTTGCATAGAATTTTCCAAGTATCAATGCTGAACTGTCTCGCTTTTCACTTCCTGTACTTGAGCCACTGCCATCTGTGTGTGTTTTACAGTGACTTCCAGAATTAACTGTTGCACTATTAATGTTTGCTTTGCTTGCAGTGAGCACTGTGTGATGACCTGGACAGAAAGAGGCATTTATATTTTTCTTCCCCAAAGCGTTCAAGTCTTACTCTGGAGTGAAGTAAAAGGTAAACTCTAAGAATCTTTGCTTTATAATATTGTCTGTTAAGTTTGTCACTTCTGAAGCCCTTGCCTTATATAGCTTAATTTTTGTAGCTGGGTTGCAGAACATTGATCAGAGAACTTTTTTGTTGTCATTTTTCAGATATATCCTTGAATATTAACCCTTTCAATTCCTTTGCTAGCCAGCCCCTCCCTCCATACTTACGAAAATATGCTTGGGAAACAAAACATGGTGTAGAGTGCATCTTAAAATACAGTAATCAAATAGTGAGAGGTGGTAACCTGCAATATCCTTTCCTTGTTTGTGTTTATTCAGATTGTCCTGCTTTCAGTTGGGTTAGAGTTAATTTTCATCCTAGTAGCTGTGCAGTGCTGTAGTTTCAATTCTGTGGAGGACAATGCTGATAAAACACAGTTGTTGCTGAGTCGCACTTACCCTGATCAAGGACTTTTCAGTCTCAATGGTCTGCCAGTGAGGAGTGGCACAAGAAGTGGGAGGGAGAAGAGACAGGACACCTGACCCAAACTAGCCAAAGGGGTATTCCATACCACAGCACATCATGCCTAGTATATAAACTGGGGGGAGTTACCTGGAAGGGCCAGATCACTGCTCTGGTTGGGCTGGGTATCAGTTGCCGGGTGGTGAGCAATTGTGTTGTGCCTCACTGCTGTTTATTGGTTTATTTTTTTTTCCCTTTCCCCTTTTAGTTTAATATTTTTTCCTTGTTATTTCCCTTATTATTACTACTGCTAGTAGTAGTATTACATTGTACTTCAGTTACTGGACTGTTTTTATCTCAACCTGTGGGGGTTGCATTCTTTCAGTTCTCCTCCCCATTCTGTCCAGGGCAGGGGGCAGGGTGAGCGAGTGGCTGCGTGGTTCTTAGTTACCAGCTGGGCTTAAACCATCACAAAGGTTTATTGTCAGGTATCCTGTGAAGGATAATCTGGCTGCTGAAAGCTTAAACACTTTTTTTTTTCTAACACCTGTCTAAACAAGTGCCAGAGAATGTACTTATTTGGCAGATGAGTTAACCCTCAAAAATGGTTTTGTGTGTACGAGTATAGACGTAGTCCTAGAAGGGTTTGTTATTGTCCGTCAGTCTTTTCTTTTCCCTTCTCCAGTCCATTTGGTGTTAAGTTTCCAATGCCCGTTGTCATGGAACATTTGCATATAACATAACTATTTCATTTGGAAACTGCTGAAAGTTCAAAGCATTTTTCTACTAGCAGATGTTTTCCTTCCATTTCAAAGCTAACAATGATGTATTTCTCATCTTCATCAGTCTTGAGTTTTTCGTCCTCCTTCAGAGGAGAAGGGAGCTTTTCAGTAACTCAGGTGTGCTTTTTGAATGTTTTCTAGAAATGCTTTCTAGAAATGCATCTCTGGAAAGCTTTGATACTTTGACTGTGCTGTGTAGTCATTAAATGCTAGCTTAGCATTCTTCAATGTTTGTTTTCTCCATGCCACTTATGCTACAGTGTGTTAGGCTTTTGTACACTTTTACAGTCAGATAGGAAATACCTTTCCACCTTCTTTCAGGAACAGAAAGGAATATTGACTCATGATTTCAGTCCTTTAGATATTTCTGTGCATCTGGTTTTGCAGATATTCAGGATATTGCAGTTTACAAAAATGAGTTGTTCTGTCTGCATACAAATGGAAAAGTTGTTCATCTCTCCCTTCTGCTGGTAGACCGCTGCATAGAGCGTCTGATGAGAAGAGGGTTCTGGACCCTTGCTGCCAGGGTCTGTTGCCTTTTCCAAAATGCAGTTATTTCTTGCAGAGTAAGTAAATACCTCTTTGTAAATGTGCAGCGCCATTTCACTCTGTTTCTTGCCCCCATTTTCCTTGGAGTTCCATAGGGTTTTGAAATTATTTTTTTTTTGGGGGGGGGTTAAAAAGTATTCCAAGCATTCTAGTTTTCAGATGAAAATTAGCCTGCATGTATGGTACTTTTTTGCTTTTCACATGTACTTTAGAAATAATAACGCTTCTATTTCACTGTGTACTTTTAGGCAAGAAAAAATTTGCCTTTAGACAGGCTGGAGCACTTAAAGTCTCAGCTGGATGCCTCAACCCAACAAGATCTTACTCTGCAACTAGAAGAATTGATTTCAAAGTTGGAACCTCTAGATTCTGCAGGCAGCAGTAGAAGGAGTAGTATTTCATCTCATGTATGTATATAGGTCGTGCCAAATACATTACCTGTAGATCTTATCTTTATGGCTTAAAATCACTTTGAAGTTGAGGCTTTCATTTTTACCATATCTACTACAGTTGATAATGCTATTTTCTAGAATTAGGTAAGGTAGAGGGGTATGAAATACTACTGCTTGCATTCTTTAAGCTTTCAGATCACTGCCTTTTTTCCATGTTATCTTGTAGCTAATGGTTGAGATATAGACAAAGATTGATCAAAGAAGGCTTTCTCCTCAGCTGAGGTTAATATCCTAACATGCTTCATTTAAGGTCATCTTGACTAAAACTGTAGTTTTCTGTGGTGAAAACTGAGTGTCTGAATGGACAGAACAATCCTAGTCCTATGAAGCTTAAGCAGAAAACACAAAGGAAAAAAATCATAGAATAGAATCATAGAATAGTTAGGGTTGGAAAGAACCTTAAGATCATCAAGTTCCAATGCCCCTGCCTTGGGCAGGGACACCTCACACTAAACCATGCCACCCAAGGCTCTGTCCAGCCTGGCCTTGAACACCGCCAGGGATGGAGCATTCACAACTTCCCTGGGCAGCCCATTCCAGTACCTCACCACCCTAACAGGAAAGAACTTCCTCCTTATATCCAATCTAAACTTCCCCTGTTTAAGTTTTAACCCATTACCCCTTGTCCTATCACTGAAGTCCCTAATGAAGAGCCCCTCCCCAGCATCTTTATAGGCCCCCTTCAGATACTGGAATCAAAGCATGTTTCTAATATTCTTTTACATGTACAGCTGTTTGTGCTTTGTCTTAGCTTCTCAGCAGCTTTTCAAGAAAAGGGAAATATTTCATAGTTAATACAGTATCAGCTGCTGCTTTCACTTTAACAGTGAAAAGTTAACTTTAAAAAGTAAAGTTAAAAAACCCAAAGTAACATAAATTCTATTTTGATGTGGTAGACAGGGTTTGGGTTTTTTTTTTTCATTAGCAGATGTGAAAAGTAAACCTCATAAACTTATGAGCAAAAGAATGTATGTGTGTCCTGGAACTAAAGTTTAGCAGGATCTGTAAGTGTGCTAGCTGGGTATGATTAACAAGCAAAAAGGAATATGGACTCTTGGATGCACAGGTGCAAAGGGATAAAGTGACAATCTTGCATGCAGGACTAAAGGAGAGATGATTTTGCCTTGTACCAACTACATCAGTTGCTCACAGGCTTCTTTCCTGAAAGCAGTTGCAGCATATGCATCTTTATTAAGTCGCTGGGCTGCCACTTATGTACTTTTCCAATCTGCATGTCAAAAATATGCTGTTATATAGGACTTTTCCAGACAGTGAATAGTGAAGTGCTGTGAGGTTATTTGTGTGGGTATGGTTGGTTTAGTTCATTGCAAGAAGTTTAACAAGGAAGTACAACTCTTAAACATCTAAGTCCTCTCCCTTGTCTAACAGGAAAGTTTCAGTGTCTTAGACTCTGGAATATATCGTGTTATCAGCCGAAGAGGCAGTCAGTCAGATGAAGATTCAAATTCTCTCCACAGTCAAACATTCTCAGAAGATGAGAGACTTAAAGAATTTCCTGCACACCAGGAAGATGAGCAAGTAGAACTTGGTAATGTTTCTTAATGAAAATAATGTTATTTGGATGCAATTTCTGTTTAGTTTATAATTATTTGATTGGGTTGGCTCTATATTCTTACTTTCCATTATTGTGATATCCATGATTTAAATTCTCTAATTTGATCAATGGGAACAGTCACCCCACCTTTCAGTCAAATTCTTTCTTGAAACATTGGGGTGAAATGCTAGCTCCACAGAAATCTTAAGCTTAAAAAGAAACAAAACCCAGAGAAACAAGACAAAAAGATCCAGAGGGCTTTTACCAAGCTGGGACTTCACTCAAATTCCACCTTCCCAATCCCTCAATGTGCAATTTAGCATTAATACCAAGAGTCTCTCAGCAGACTATGTCAGTGTTAATTGAGCTTTGAATGAGGGTTGGTTTTGTTTTTTTTTGCTGTTGTCCTTACAGTAATATTTGTACCAGGAAAGAATTGCTTAATCTTGGCTCTGACTTTATATTTCTTCAGGGAAACCAGTAGGTTTACTGTGTTCTTAACTTCAAGGTTTCCTTTGCACGGGGGACTATCTCTTACATGTTTAGAAGGGATTATAGAATGTTAATAACTAACACTTAGACCATCCAGGGAGCTCCACCTAACAAATATCTGTCGCTGGACGAAAGCTAAATGGACAGCAGTGGTCTTGTTCTCTGCTGTGGTTGGGATTGGGAGGGGATGCAGAAACCTGGCATGATGAGGAGCTGGCTTAGTTCCAGGTATGCTGGAAAGGCTTTCCAATAAAAAGGCTCCTTTTTAGCTTCTGCAGAGAGTAGATGCCAGTTGAAGATGGAGAGAATTTTGGATGCTTTTTCAGGGAAAACTGCACTGGGGAGGGAGAGCATAAAGATTAGTATTTACTTCCCTATTTGTCAGTAGTGTTGTCCTGCTGACTAAGCTGCATGCTGTTCGTAGCACTTGCTTTTACATGTGTGTCTTTACTTGTATCACAAACTTGGAAGGGTGTGTTTAATTTCCAGTATTAAAACTAAAATGAAGGGATGCAGTTTTTGAATCTCAAAAGATAGAAAAGTTCTATCTGCTCAAGAAGAGACAACAAATTTACTGATTATTTCAAAGCATAGAAGTTCTAGATGCTTCTTGAAGCATGTATACTTAAAGAGGGGAAGTTTAGATTGGATATAAGGAAGAAATTCTTTACTGTTAGGGTGGTGAGGCACTGGAATGGGTTGCCTAGGGAAGTTGTGAATGCTCCATCCCTGGCAGTATTCAAGGCCAGGCTGGGCAGAGCCTTGGGTGGCATGGTTTAGTGTGAGGTGTCCCTGCCCATGGCAGGGGGTTGGAACTTGATAATTTTAAGGTCCTTTCCAATCCTAACTATTCTATGATTCTATTTGAGAAAACGGATTTAGTCTTTCCCTGCTCACATTTACGTCAGATGTCAGAAGTTTTTACATTTCTAATATGTGTAATGAACAAAAGCAGCCTTATTTACAAGCAATCATATAATCACTTGTGACCTTTAGGTACTATCTAGATGCTGTGGATTCTCATGGTAGAATTTCTGTAACTACAGAGCTTCTTTTCCTCTCAACAATGCAGGCAGTGCTGACTGTTGCAAAATGCAGTGTCATCCTTACTTAAAAGGATCCTTTTTTTTCTTTTTTACATCACTTAAAGATACAGTGTGTATGTTTGTACCAGGAAATGATTACTCAAAAAACATTGTAGATACTGCCAGGGAAAAGGCAATAGTCGGTGATTCTGTATTTCCTGTGGTTCGTATCAAATGCCAGAGAGCTATGGGCTTAATTATATCTTTAAGTCTGCCCAGATAAAAGGGTAATTTATATCTTAACCATGGCTTTTATGTCTCTGTGTGCTCATATGTGATTTAGATTTTAGGAAACCATGCATTGTAAATTTATGTATGCCATAATACTTCATTTTCCTAGATATTTAAATAGCTGGCAGTAGATTAAATTAAGATTTTTGTCCCCTAAATGAACTGTAAATCTAGTTGTAGAAGATCATTTTCATACAGTTGTTGATCATAATTTGCCTTGTTACAGAGCCAAAAGACTGTTAACAAAGCAGACTTAACTAGGTCCAAAGTCAGTAATAAAATGGCTCTTGAAACCAAGTAGCACTTTTCTGGTTCCACACATTCCTGAGTATTAAAGAGGAAAATATCTCATGCAGGTTATCCATTTATGAATTAGTGACTTGCAGTTAGTTTCACTGTTCCATTTTTGTCAGGTCACTGTTTCATGACTCTTTATTTCAATTCCATTTGTTAGACAACGTATCTCATACATCTGTGACAGTTGAAGCTGACCGGAATGAGACATTTCTTCCATTCAGTATTCCTTTGTCATTTCGTTCCCCATCTCCTCTCGTCTCTCTCCAAGCTGTCAAAGAAAGGTAAAACATGCAGCAGGTTCACCCGTCCATTACATCTTTCCCTTTTCTGTCCTCTGAATTTGTAGCCTTGTCTGGTTTAGTTCATGCTATGTTCTGCAAAAACGTAACACGTGAACTGAAACACTGGAGATGCAGTCAAGTTTGCTAGGCTATTTAGAGCTTCTCAAATGAAGTTAGAACTGCTGTTAACTTCAGTGGAGCCAAGATTTCAACCTCTGCTTTGAAATGGCTAAGAATGCTTAAATGACTGAGAATGTTTAACACTGCCTTGTGAACTGTGGTTGTGATTTGTCTTTAAAGCAAACTTACTGAATATTGGTTTGGGATTTTGCTTTTCTGGTACTTAGATTTCTTACAAATGAGTGAAGGCTTCTGATGTTGTTTAGGGACAAACATTAAAATATTCAAAGCATGCTAGATAGTGCTAAAACACAGCTGCAAATTATACCGCATGGTCTGCTATCTCCCCATATGCACCTTTCAGTGAATCTAAGCAATTTCCCAAGTGTTTATGGAATAATGGTAGCTTATGCCCAGTGCAAGTAAATATGGTAATGTCTATTCTATGAGAAATCAAATTGCTGCTCTAAAACCTGCTTTAAAAAACAGGGACACACACACACACACACACGTAAAGGAGATGGTGTTAAAAACATAAAAAATTGAAAAAAACTATGTATGTTAGCTTCTGAGGTAAAATGTTGCTGGCCCGTAATGGTGGTGTGAGAAGTTGCATAGCCCTCCCTTAATAACTTAGGTATGTGAATATATGTCCTGCAACAGAAGACTGTAGCTGCTATCAATTGTATAAGGATCTCAGAATAACCTTGTTTTGAATGTTTTGAATTCTTTTTAAACTGTAAGCAAATTTTAGGACTTTACCAGTAATAAGTGTTTCTGTTAATAATAACTAAGTATTCAAGTATTTACTGTATTCAATTTATAATTAAATACATTACTATCACACTTAAAATTGATTTTTAAGTTTACCTTTAATCCTTATATACATTAAAGTCCAATTGTTTTGTGCTCTCTTCTGCAGCAGCCTTCATCCGTTGCTATACTTGGTGTAGTAAAAGATGCCATATGCTCTGGCAAGCAAGTAAATGGTTGCTTTTTTCTTGATGCTCTGAAACTAGTTCTTGGCCAGAAAGCAAGAAGCTGATTTTTATGATCAACTGTGGATGATATAGTTCCTTTCATGGCAGTGGTAGAAATAATTGGGTTTTGGTATGTTCACTGGGCTTCCTCTTGAATAAAATGCTCACTGGACTTCCTCTTGGATAAAATATCTGAAGGGGTAGGGACTGATGACATGACAAGGACATTTATAGTGAGCTTTATAATCTGAAGAATTAATTTTGAGTACTGTAAAACTGTTTCTTACCCCCAAGAGGGACATAATTTCCTAATGATGCTTTATAAGCTTTAAAATGCAATGTGGCTAACCTGCATTTATTTGCATTTAAATACATGTCCTGATATAAGCACTAATGTTAATATGCTGTTTCTCCAGCAGCAAAAAAATCCAAGTCTTCAATAATTCAGGGTTTTATTCTGTGCTGAAAGTATGAACCATGACTGAAGTAAGAATTTTGAGCAGCTTATTAGTGAATTTTGTTCTTGTTGGTCATTGGTGCTCTTAACCTTTTCTTGAGAATTCTTCAGATTATAAAGTTTTCTGAAATCATGGTTTGAATGGAAAGAAAGTGATGTGTTCAGATTTGTACTTACCATTTTAAATATCTGAACTTCTGACTCCTAGTGTTTCCAGCTTTGTACGCAAAACTACTGAAAAGATTGGCACACTTCATATAAGCCCTGATGCTAGAGGAAGGCAAGAAGCAAAGGATGATGAGCAGCTGCAGGAGTTGAATGTTAATCTGGAAGCACCTCCCCAGGAAAAGAAAGAGTGAGTGCAAAAGTTACCTTTTCTTAGCAGTTGCATTTGCTGAATATTCTGAGGATAGCAGAAAAAGCGCTGTTTTAGGTAGAACAAGGAGTTGCCTTCATTACTATGGTGGGTTTCACTGGTTCTCCCTGACTCCTTTCCTAGAAGCAGATTAGGCAATGAACACTTCTGAGGGGTGGAGCACACAGTCTCCACAGTGCTGTAATGACTAAAGAGCATGAACATAGTGTATTCAGCAGTTCTTATATAGTGTATCTGTGATGCTAGTTATAGTTACGGGCATGAGTCCAGCAGTTCATTTCCTGTCCTTTCTGAGTAGGGGGGTAAACACTTAGCTTCCTGAAAACATTTTTCTATTTTGTTTTTGTTTGTGTGGCTTATGTCTGTTGGTTGGGTTTTGTTTTGTGTGGGTTGAGTTGTTGTTGGTTGGGTTTTGTTTGCTTTTAATAATGGTAGCTTTAAAATGCTGAACTTCTTCAATGGTTGTCTAATTCATACAGAGCTAAGTTATTTTGTATTCCAACATTCTGCTAATTTACCATTTTGGACTAACTTTGATAACAGGCATGATACTGATGTTTATTCACTACCTGCAGAAATCTACTGTAGAAGGCTGCAAAAATGGTATTACGGGTTTGCTTTTCATGGCTATTCATAATTTCTGTTGAGCTGTTCCTTCTTTAGAAATCAAAGGTTGTGTTGGTTTTTTTTTTTCTTTAATGAAGGAGTTAATGTTGTTTCCTCACAAACTTAAGGAAATTTGTGAGGAAATTCCTCATTTAAATTATTGAAGATAATCATAGAATGGTTTGGGTTGGAAGGGACCTTACAGATCATCCAGTTCCAACCACTCCCTGCCGCTGTCCCCCCCCACCCCGGGCATGGTGGGGTTGAAACTAGACCAGGTTGCTCAAAGCACCATTCAACCTGGCCTTGAACACAGCTTCTCTGGGCAACCTGTGCCAGTGTCTCACCATGTTATACTAAAGAATTTCTTTGTAATGTCAAATCTAAATCTATGTTCTAATGCTTCAGATAAGACTGAAATTAATGTGTTTTTTCTAGGTTAGAACCACAGAGTTGCCAGCTTCCAGAGGAGGATCATCTAAGAGATCTCAAGGCTGCAACAGCAGAAGCTATGTAAGCAGGGAGACCTTTTAGTGTATAGATACTGGGTTTTGTTAGAAAAATGATATTTTTATTTTTTTTCTTAATTCATTACAGACATGTAAGTGTAATGCTCTTAATGTCTATTAACATAATCTGAAATTATCTCATTTGGTTAGTTGTTTCCCCTGTTTAAAGCTGAGCAAAACCCACTAAAGGTTTATTTAGGCACTCAAATGTTACCTTTTTGTCCTAACTGGAAGCATAGTTTAAAAAAAAACAAACAGAACCAAACCCATGTAACAAACAAAAATCTATTCTGAAAGAAACCTTGGGGAACTTGGAATGTACTAAGATCAAAGTAGATAGCTTGAGTAGCTTAAATTCTGTTTGATGCACTCAAACCCACAAAACCCCAACTAAGTCAAGTTTAGGAGTATACTTTGAATTACACAAAATACACATAATACTTCACTTGTGACATAACTGTTAAGCAAATTAGCAAACTTCTTTTTTATGCTTCAGAGCCAAACTCCAGGATCCCCTGGTTTTGTTAGAACCACAGTGTATGAGAATGGTTTTACAGGAATGGCTTGTCTGTCTAGAAGAGAAGTTTGGCAGCAAAGAGCATTCTGCTTCCACTGTCAAGAACCACAAGACTGTGTGTGCTGAAGAACAGAGTGCAGTTCTGCAAGAAAACCTACGACTAGGTCCAGCTGATGGAGACCCAAAAGACAAAGAATGGAGCAGTATCTTGGAAAACTACACTGAAAAGGAAAATACTGAAGAAACTTGTGTAAGCAAGGCCATGTGTGAAAATAGTACTGATTTTAAGGGACCTTTGGACTGCGGCTTTCAAGTGTCTCCTCCATGTGTCATAGAACCAGATGTTCAGAAAGATCTTGTTGAGTTGACAACACTGTGTTTTGAGATGTCTGTGTTTTCTTGTGGAAGTGGTGATGCTGAGGAAAGTTCTGATGGGAGTCTGCCACTAGCAGCTTCATGGACCTTGGCTTGTAGATTTATGCGAAGCTACTTCTTTCTTTTGGATTTAAAAAGACTAAAGCAATGTATTATAACCATACATGCAAACAGCCCTAATGTATGGGAAACATACATCGCAGGCTTGAAAGGTAACTAATGACAATTTTATTACTGGTAAACTGAAAGTAAGACTGCTTAGGAGAAAAAAAGAAGCTTGAAGACAGTCCCATTTGTGTCTGCAAATTTTCCGTCTGCAGGTGTAGTGTGGGAGGGGGAGGATGGCTGGTGTGTGAGAGGTTTTGTTCCATTTTTGGTTTATTTGGTTGGCTGGTTTTCCCCCCAAAGGCTAACTTAGGAAGAATTGCAGTTCCTCTCTGACATTTTGCAGTTCTGAACCTTGTAATTTATATGGGGCTTATTGATTGAATGCTGTAGTGATTACAGACCAGACCTAGTTAAAAACAAATGTGCTTCAAAGAGCAAAGCATCTAAATTAGAATCAGATGTTTGTGGAAACAAGGAAGAAGCAAGGGGAGGGGCTTTGGTATTTGCACTGGAAACAGAAGATTCTTTAGCTTCTAGAGAAATGGGGTTAAACAAAACTGAATGGAGTAGATGGTTCTGTGCCTTATGATCACTCCAGACTTCCTTTGTCCGTGGAAATCATTTCTGATCTTTTTGATGCCTCTTTAGCTTTATTGAACCAAAGCTTCCTGATTATGTTGGAAAAGAGAACTTTGTGGTCTACATTCAGCTTCTGCTTTATGCATTTTTTACAAAAGTGAATTAAAGTCTTGGCATTGATTTGGTGCAAACAGTAGTCGAACAACAGTATCTTGTTTTCAGGGTTGGCATCTAATATTTGGGTTTATGGGAATCTGTTCACTATTTGGACTTGAACAGCCTTAGAAGTGAAAGTAATATATGTGTTCCTAGTTTGTTCCCATTTTGATTGTCCTTGTTGCCTGTAGATTGATACCTGCATTTCATCAGGATGGAGGTTCATGCTGAATTCTACATTCTGTGAAGTCAGTGACCAAGCTGAAGTTTTTATTTATAGAGGCAGATTGTAAAATATGAAAACTGCTGCAGATCTGCATTATATTCAGCAAGCCATAAGTCCTGCAGTGGGCTGGGGTTTGGTTTTGGGTTTTTTGTTTTGTTTTGTTTTTTTTTTCGTTTGTTTGGTTTTGGGTTTTTTTCCACACAAGAGAAAAATTAACATCTTAGAAGTCTAAAGAAAAGGAAAATATATTTAGAGTATTATTCTGTGGCTTAATCATATCATTTTGTAACTGCAATTTGCTGTAAGCACAGATGAGTGATGTCAATTTCTATGAAATGAACATGTAGGATCTGTTCACTTGTTAGCTAGAGTTCCATGAAAGTAGGGGAACTCTTGTCCTTACGCTTAGGAACAGCTCTGTGTGTGTGTGAATTACAAAACACCAACTTGCCCTGATCTTGTAACTTCTGCGCCGATTTATTTCAGAACTAACTTGTCATAGCCCAGTGGCTTTAGCAACGGAAAATGAAGATATGTTGAAAATACTGAAACAGCTGCATGACCTGGGACCTTGGGATGATAGCCCGCTCTTACTGGTACATGCTCAAAGGTTTGTAGCTAAGTGGGTTTTGTTTGGTTAGTTTTCTTTGGTTCACTGAATATTTCATGAAGCTCTCTGGGAATCTTTTAAAGAGATCAACTTTAAGTGCTATCTTGAACTTGCAAGAGATCTTGGAAAATTATAATTTGCTGTTTGTCCTCTCTCTCTAGGCTTTATGAAAAATTTGGGGAAACAGCTCTTCGGCCCTTGATCAAGTTCTACCCCTCCCTCTTGCCCTCTGATATCAAACAGCTTTGCAGGAATGATCCAGCTCACTTTTTAGCATATTTAGATAGTCTGGTGAAATCAAAGCCAGAGGATAAAAGGTAAAGGGAATACAGAATCTTTTTAATCTGTCTGCTGTCTTAATTATGTAGCTGTGGGGTTTGTTTGGTTTTGGCTTTTGGAGGCTTTTTTTACTCTTTCTGTATCTATCTTGATGTTCTTCAGCAATAGATTCCAATTCATTCTACCAGTTTTATTTGTTCTCAGTGTTGGTTTTTTGTTGGTTTTTGTTGTTTTGTTTTGTTTTGTTTTCTTAGATTAGATGCTAGTTTTAAAAGGGTTTTTCTAAATAATGCTTGCAGTGGAGCTGACTATTTTTGGTCTAAGGTCAGACAGCATTCTTAAAACAACCCCTAGGTGAACCCAACCTGCAAACTGAATGGCTTTTTGTGGTCCTCTCCATTTCTAAAAATATAAATCATTCCAAGCTTTTCCATATTTCATATTATCTCTTTTGTTTCTTCCTTTTTTTTCTTTGGCCCACACACAGTCTCTGCTCCTCCATGTCTGGTATATATAAAACTGGCATTTTTTTTCCTGTGTTGTGTTTTCCAGGTCATCTCTCCTTAGATCTCTTCTGCAGCCTGAATCTGTACGACTGGATTGGTTGTGCTTGGCAGTTTCTCATGATGCACCACAAAGAACAAATACTGTGGATGCGGAAGGAAATCCCAGGTAAAGCAGGGGTCACCGAAAGTCCTGCGTGCAGCAAAAAGCTTTAATTGGTCTGTAGAATTTTGGCTTAAATTTTGCATGATAGTTTGGATGTCCCTTAATCCTTGGAGCATTTTCTGTGTTACAGAGTTCAGCAGAAGCAATGAGATGATTAAATAACCTTATTTGTAACACTTCTCAGAGTGACTGCTCTACTGAGACTATACACAATGTTTAATTCACTTTTCTTTCTTCTCATACACCTGCCTTTCTTCTAGAGAGAACATCATGTTCTGAAGGAAAATTATTAATGCTTTAAAACTGAATTTCTCATATTCTAGGCCACGATCCCATTTGTTTACATGGGGCTACAGCCAGCTCATTCTGCTTTTGATTAAACTCCCAGCTAACTTTGCTACAAAAGAAAAGATGACTGACATCTGTAAATCACATGGGTAAGAAAAAGCTTAGTGATTCTTGATTAGCTAGTGTTCTGACCCCAG